CTAGAGTCCCTTCCCCTTCTAAGGCTTAGTCCCAAGTTGTACTAGAGGCCCACACACTTCAGTGGCCCTCCTAAGGAGATGAGCGCCCTTCCGCGTCTTCCTCTTGTTCTACTTTCGCCCGAATGTTCTCATGCACAGCTCTATGTGTTGCAATGTAGCAGGACTAGACTGCTATATTGACCATGAAGCAGGGTGTTATCCGTTAGGTTGGAACGAAAGTTTTGAAGCACCCCACAGCCGAATTTTGAAGCTTTATTTTTTAAACTCTACTTATTCCAAGATTCTTAACATATTGGCCTTCACAGTCAACATTAACATGCAGTCTTTCGGCAATTGGCACGTTCGTAATTTAGGAGATTCTGTATAAAAAATTTTCGGATGTCGATTTGAGGTCGTTCCCGTCGTCGAAGTTTTTGTCCTCCCTCCGTGATGAGCGGGCAGCGGAAAAGGTGAACATCTGCGGGGAGACGTATGGCGAATATAAAGGATGGGTAGGGTCACCGTGCGTTATTCAATTTCCAAAAAATTGTCGACCCCTTTCCCTCATACAGAGGGAGAAGGTCCTGTCTATCACGAAACTGGTTCTGTGCGCCTCTCGTGGGCCGATGTCTCCAGGCGATGTTCGTTCAGGATCGTTCAGGATGAGCGCTCGGATGGTCTATGGGGAGATTGTTCTGTGCGATGCGAACTCCATTGCTGAAACCCTGGTCGGAGCACCGTACGCAGCACAACTCGCTAATTTATCTACCATCTGTGGAAGATTCCAGTCCACTCGGGAAATTTTCTGTAAAGCTTCCCTTCCAGAAAGTTTTAGAACGTTCTAACAACGAATGCAGCCAGCACAGCAAATTTAAGTATTTACCAATCTGACTTCAAAATAAAATACAACAAAAGCTCCACAGGTAAGCGATTGACGAAGCAAAGTAGTGAATAAGAAAGAGAAATTGGGAATATTTAAATACCAACAATCATCCCGTACGGTTGACAGACTCTAAGTACTGATTGCAAAGCATATGACCAAAACGAAATCACATTTCGGAAAACCAATATGAATATATGACTGAAGGTTTTGACTTTTTCTTTCAATTTGCCTCAGAAAAACAAAATCTAAGAAAATCAAAATTCGCTCACGAATAGAAAATCTCTCAAGTGACAACAATCTTGCGGAATCTGTCGCCAACCGATGCCAGATAGCTTGACTGGAGAGCTCTTTCCAAATCCGCCAGCTGTGCCACGGAAACAGCCAACTGAGGTGCATGGCCTTCGAATGTCGTCACTTAAAAAGAAAGTGTGAACTTCTCAGTTGCTCCGAGGAACAGAAGCCATATACTCATCGATGACAGCGGGCTCAATAGCGAGCATTTTGGAACGCTTAACACCACCACTTTCAATTGGACAAAATAGAAGGAAAAGGTTACACTGAGGGGAAGGGTATGCAGCAGTCTCCGGCCGAGGATGGGTCCGGGAGTGCAGCATACGGAACCTCCTGCATTTTAAGTGATTACCATAAACATAATTCCTATTGTTTTGAGACTGATTCATTCAGTTTTTTCTCGAAAAATTAAGTCTATATTGGATTGTACTAAACATTGTGTAGCGCGCCATGATTCAGCTCTTGAGCCAATGTTTATACAAGACGAAATGATTCCCATGAGGGAAGCGGTGTATGGATAAAAATCAGCGTCCTAAAGCGTTTCGGATATTTAGCCATCCACGAGTGCATAAAATCTCAACATTTCTTTCGGATAAAGGAGCAAAACTAAAAACAAACACACCATTTGTTCGTTTAGCACCGTAAACAATTTTGCCATCAAATTCGTCCACAGGTATTTGAAACGCGCAATCAACGATAGCTATTGTCTGCCCGAGATGCTCTTCAATATCGGCTAATAGCTGAAAATAAATGAAAAAAAAGCTTTGAAAAGCCTTAAAAGAAGCACTGAAGTAGTTTTCTGTAACAAAAAGGATGAAAAAGCTTATCCTTACTTTAGGTTCATTGTACCAGATCGTACAGCCTCCCTGCGACAGATCATTTGTATTACGGCACTTCGGATTACCGCATTATGTACCACACTTTCGTCTCGTGCGTTGACACTAGCGAATAGAGCAATCATCTATTGGCTTTTACTCAAATAGGCTCAGAAGACCTTTACCAATCGAACCCAAAGATGAAAAGACTATCTTGTTGCAGAAAAAATTTTGAAGAATAGGAAGAAGGGCTACAATTAAGCAAGAATGAAGCAGCGATCACACCTTTCCGCTCGTCCAACACGCCCAATACGGTGCACATACTGAGCTGCCTCGTCAGGTAACGTAACGTTGATCACTAAAAAAATGGAAAGTAATATAATTTCTGTTGCCCTGAAATTATAACAATCAGCGTCGTGGAAACGATACCCCTACTGTCACCTGCGTTAGAGAGCAAAAAATTCAGTTACTCCTCCTCAGAGTTCTCCCAATAACAGGACTTATTTAGAGCCTACCATAATCGAAAAATGCTGCGGAATTTTTTGAACCTATGATATCGTTTTCTTCTATAATAGGGAAGCATGAAGATGGGAGCACCAGTAATCTTAAAGGGGTGATTAGGCTCAAAACAAGGAGTAGACGCGTCACTAAAAAAAAAAGAACTAAACCGAAAACCACGGCATCATGTTCAGGATTGGATGGGGATGACTAATCAACGGTTTCCAATTTATTGTCCGCTGACTCAGTCACCGGACACCAAGCGTCGGCTCTTCGCAGTGGCGTCAAGAGGCGGCCCTCGTAGGCCTAACAATACAATACCATGGAAAATACGATTTACAGTCGACAGCCGGCTAGCTAGCCTGGGTTCTTCAGCAAAAACCAAAAGGTAGAATCATGCAATTCAGGGGTGACAGTCAGAGGGGAGAAGCCAGATTGTGGCTGCGGCTCGGCGAAAGGTCTTGCGAGTGAATTCACGCGCGGCATATGTTTACAAGTGATAGCAATGATAAGTTATCAACGCCGTACTGAATAAAGCTTATACATAGTCGCTTACAAAATGGCACGCCGCTAATATCGATACCACGAGCGGCAACATCTGTGCATACCAGGAATGGCTTCTTTTTCGCCTGAAAAAAGGGAACGATCATGTGGAAGCTTAATTCATCCACTACCCTAACTATTTCTCCAAGTTATACCTTGAAGTCTTGCAGAGCTTGTGATCGTTCCCTTGGAGATCGATCACCATGCAGGCAGACAGCTCCATACTCTGCCAAAGACAATAGAAATCATTGAAAAAATTAGGATGCTAATGGAAAAATGAGGAAATTCATGGTTATATGTTTAGCATACTGTTTCTAAGCAGATAAGCTTCCATATCATCACACTGCTGCTTCGTCCGACAAAATATGATACATTGTTCCATTTTCAAAGCTTCGATAGCCTAAATGACACAAAAAGGATTTTCTCATTCTTTTATTTTATTTTCATTTCCTTTTCTCATTCCACATGTTGTTCAACATGTAAGGAATCTAAATCAAGAGATCGATTCCGCCTTGACCAATCCCTTTTGTGTGCCACGCTCTCTACCTCCATTCAGAATTAAATGCGATTTGGCTTATTTAACGACACGAGGGGGCTAGTCTGCGTATAAGTCGTTCCTTTTGAATACTTTCAAAAAATTGATGTGCAAAGTTTACGAGCTGATGCTATAAAAAAGGTGCCGGCGGCAAAACACCATGGAAAGGCAGTCAGTGGACTAAAAGGTGATAATTGTTAATGCCTTTAAAAAATCGGTTGTCTATTTCGAGGAAACTCTAACTTCATCACAACAAATAAAAATAAACTGCTGAGACAGAAAATCATGCGCGCTTGATCAAAGAAGGCTAAGGGTTCAAATACTCTGCACGCTCCCACTTACAAATTTTCAAGTATGATACGTTGCTCTATTGGGCCTCCGAAAGAGGTAAGCAATCGCATAACAAACCTTTAGCACATAGGTTCCTTTGAGAATCTTGGTTCCTAGAGAAACGGTATTCTTATCGGTGGTATTCAGACGAATCTGGTCTCGTTCATGAACAGTGTCATCCTGAAAACACATTACACATTCTCTAAAACAAAGGGTTTGAGCGGGAAAGGTGCATCTGTCTGTGAATGGGTGAAAAATTCTGAAATTCGCATAATATTCTATCACATCAATATCAACATGTTTTCTGCTCCACAGCGCTTTCTTTACTCCTGCTTAATTGTTCTCACCTTGTGCAGTCCTCTACTTTGACTCCCCTTTTCATCAGTAGTGTAGCGAAGCGCAGAGTTTCGGCCGTATTGACATGATTTGATATGTAGTGTTTGTTCCCTTTTTTCTTTCTTTCTTTTCTTTATTCAATTTTGTTAGTGTTTTATCTTTCTTCATACTGATGTGATTCCGAGATGAATGTAGCACTCCCTCGAGCGTAATAAATATTAAAGTTGAATAATAATCCTCACTAAAATGGCACTACAGCCAATTCGTACCTTGAGGTGATTCGGACTATGCATATGTCTAATCCATTGCTTATCTCCAACTGCGTCAACCATACACACCACATGATGAACCGTCTCCGCAACACTGTCCATACCTTTCAAGTCTATCCACTGTGGGAAATTCCATCGTGTTATCCTGAAAAAGACAGACACTGGTCTTTGACCAAAAATTGGCGCGCACTGAAAGCTCGTACTTACCGCAAACTGTGTAATATTTTGATTGTGAAGCGTTGCCGAACAAGCAATCACTTGCAAACGCATTCCGTTCGACGCCACCGTAGGAACTCGTGACAGCAGTCGTTCAAGTTGTGGTTTGAATGACGAAAGAATCTGATCCTAAACCGAAGATGTACAATCCGTGCCAGGTGTGCAGAGAAAGAAGTGATAAAAGTATTGCAGTTTTACGAAAAGTGACGAAAAACTTACAGCTTCATCAATAACAATAAAATTCAGCCCATTTGCGGATAACTTATGAGTTTCTATCATATCCAACACACGACCAACACCTCCTGTCACAATATCAACACTCTATCAAGCTCGCTAAGCAGTTGTCCCATGCTAGCACCGGCAGCCAATGAGATGCTCCTGGAAATATACCTAATATAGGTTACCAAGCAGTGGAGCAAAGGCTGTGTCTCACAATCACATAGCTTGGAAGTTTGCAAAAAAGGGGAACGAAGATTGTAAGCAAAAAAGGTTACCTTATTTTTGGATCGCTGACGTTCTTCGAAAACTTGACGAGATTGTCGTGAGTTTGCTCTATCAATTCTTTGGTAGGTTCGAGCACAATGCAAACCGGTGCCGCAGCCTTGTCATTTTTGTCGCTTTCAGTTTCCAAGCCTCGCCATTCTGTAAGGGATGATGGTGCTTCACAAACGGCAATAACACCCTGAAACAGACTATTTAAGCTAGTAGTCTCCCGATTTTCGAGTAGCCGTATACATTCAGTCAGTTTTGACATAAAGCAACCTCTTTTGGAGGGAAAGCGAAAGGAGTTGCGCCAAAGTTAAGCTCCAGGGAAGAATTCTGCACCAGCACGGCTGGATGCAATGCACAATGCGGACTGGAGAACTTTGTCTCCAATCGGAAGGCGACTTCGAATTCTTTGCCATTCTTTGACCACCTGTAAAACATTCTTCAATAAAGGAGATCTGAACTCCATTACTAATGTTCTAATTACTTTTTAGGAAATCTAAAACTAACCACATCCTTCCATTGTCAAGGTCCAAATAGCACCCCATTACATCACCAGTTGTAAAAGACTCGCCATAATCTTCAAACTTTCGTTTGGTGCTCTTCTTACCAGTACCACCAAAACCAAAACTCTCGTCGTCAGTGCCTGTGAATCAGTGCAGCTGTTTACCGCCAGAGAAATTGGTTTCCAATTTCCTCAAACTATTCGGATGAAGGTTTACCTAAGTCCAGTGTCGCCTTCAACGTTGACCAACCGATACGACACAAGCCGTCACGCGTTATTTTGGCTTCATAATAATATTTGCCTGTAGTGATGGTTTTATTTATTTCAGTTGTTTTGAACAACGTTTTGCTCATCAAGCTTTACCTTTGGAATGTACACCTCCCATGCACCTCGAGCCATACCAAGCCTTTGGAACACGGCTTTCACACGACAAACCATCCTGGGACAATGACAATCCCATGGCACGGTCGGCCAAGTTTAGTCGCCAACCAACGGCTAAACAGTGGAAATCATGACAAAAAATTACTTGCAGCCCAATCTTCGAAGGTGGCTTTCAACCTTAAATGCGCAGTGAGCAAAAAAAAACAGGTTTTTTTTTCTATGAGATGTCAAGATCTTCGTTATCCGCAAACATGAGAATGTGATCGGATCGAGAGCAGTTAGCTGTAACGATGCGTTCATTTATTCACAATTGCGCTTAGTATAAAAATGGTATTTTGGCAGATGGGGAGATTAGGAGATTCAGCTGCAAACTTTAGTTTCGTACTGATTGGGACAAGAAGAGAATGCATGAAATAGCAGTTTTCAGTCAAACCAATCAATGCGTATCCAATTTTTTCAGCGGGATCTGTCAAAATTCTAATATTCAATCCCTCTAATCCGGATCAATCGATTGCCTTTTAGCTGGCAGCTGGTTTTCAGACATCATCTGATCCTTAACTACGCCCTCATTCTGTCAATCAATTCACACATATTTTCATTGTCTTCTAGTCCCGTAACTTCCCAATACGTGGAATAAGAACGCGACCTAGGAATTATCTCAATAAATTCTATGATACATGCGCACAAAAAGCAAAGGAGAACAGTGTCCCGGCGCAATCATAGACGATGTCTTGGCGCGGCACGAGGAATTAGACCAAGTATTGCGGAGCAGCAAGGCTTCCCATGGTATTACAGGAATCAACTGCAATTCATAGTAGACAACACCATTACAAGACCATGCAAAGGTGGCTGCACTTTATATGAACCGTGTCGAACGTTTTCGACGTTTACCGAAAACATTTGGTCTAATTTCGAGCTTCAAATTCATTCCAGGGGTTGTTCTAACATAAGAAGTTTACGGCCTATCATGCGGACCAGGAATAGTTCTAGAGTAAGTTCCTACGGCCTAAAGTTGACCATTACTTTTTACAAGGTTGTTGTAATCATGCGTATCGGGGGTTTTTCTAACATATGAAGTGGCAGCTAAGAGAAACTAGTAGATGTGTCGAAATCTATTGTAACCGAATTAAAACTGAATGGAAAAGAACGTACAAGATTTTACGCCAGGACTCATTCCTTCTTTACGCCTTTCCCATACTATTTGAACCACTGGTAAAGAGAAAGCTCCAGTCTTACCACTACCAGTTTCTGCGGCCTAAAATTAGCCACCATAGAAAAGCTTCTATATAAGCGATAACCACAGAGCAGCTAGGAAAATCAGAGAAAAAACGAAAGTTTGACTGGAACGCACTATGAGGACATCACCTCCGCCAAGAATGGCCGGAATCGCATCACATTGAATCGGGGTTGGTAACCTGAAATAAGGAAAAGCATGACCAAGAAAAAAAAACGCTAAAATAACTGTTTTCGATTTTCTTCCATTTGTGAAAGTACACAAAGCGGATGTGAACACACATCGCAGTTACATCTCAGTAACAAGATCAGATCATACAAGATGGCTAATAACCTAATAACAATACCAGCTTCTTTGCTCTGGGCCACTTCCTGTTATAACAATACCAGCTTCTTTGCTCTGCCAGTCTCCGCGCCAACGCCCCCCCCCCAACTAAGTTAGCACCGCAGATTGGATCAGCTGTCGGGCTGGCGCCCCTTGTGCCTCCCAGGGGGTGGAAGGGGTGGGAGGAGGTAGTTGGTTGCGCTCCTCCTGTGGAGTGCGCAAGAGAGCGTAAGGGGGGGGGTCGATGGGGAGCTCTGGCTGGAGGCTGGGACGGAGATACCGTTTGTGACCGAGTTTTCTACACTCCCTCCCTCTCCCCCTCCCCCTCTCCAGTCAAACTCTGTAAAGTTTGTTAAGCCTATAGCAAATCTAGAGTGAAAAATTCACATTTTCCGAGCGAAAATGGAAGGGATTCCAAAAAATCAACTAAGCAAGAGAGAGTAATGGTGCGACAGTATTAGAAAAGTTGCGCTATGCGCACATAGTAAAGAAACTTTAGTGCAGAAATGTTACTGGTTCAAAAAGTGCTTGGTTAATAAAAAAAATTCAAACTAATAATGAATAACTAGTGGGAAAAACACTATAAAAATGAGACGTGTCTCCATCGGTTGAAATATCTTGCACGCACAGAGGAACAATTTCAAAACACAATCAAAAATTTTGAAACACTCACTCCCATCCGAGTTCAGATACCGCATCACCCAACTCAGGAATCACTCCCAACTCTTCGAAAGCCGTCATAGCGACCTGAACAAACCATAACACAAAAATAGAGCTAAATCAAACTGATGGAAATACAAATAGGAAGGTGATCCAATACAACATCTTAGAAATGACAGTATTGTATCGTTACGATCGAGAGGGCAACATGAGTGAAAGCCGAAGACCCTTTTTATTGCGAAGCGATTCAACTACTAAAACTTCAAAAACTTTTTCAAGCGAAAAACACATCCGCATTTGTTTAACATGAACATATATGATGACAAATCTGTAAGCAAAATCTGAACAAGAGGACAGGTCAAAAGAACGATGAATACAAATGTAATACCACTTAATTGATTGCTCTTCTCCTTCTCATCTTTGAGTTACCCGAAAAACTAAGAACAAGAAAGTGAGAGTATGAATTATGCTCCGTTTCAAATTCATATGTGACATGAAGTAAACAAAAATAGCATCCTGCCAAAACGAGAACATCGCATCTCGGCTTCAAGACACCATTCCTTTAAACTCCACTAGCTTCTGCCCGTTCTTTGTCGTATAAAAGATTAGCAATAAGTTCACGTTTGAAAGTAAGACGTCTCTTCTCGGCCATAATTTCGTCAGCCATCTTCTTGAGGTGTTCGTCTTCGATCTGCAAGCAGAATACTTAATGGAGCCCTCATCTAGCATTTTTTACACACTATGCACACTGTTTCCTTGCCAAGGTGAACCACAAATGAGAATTCTTCAGCAGGAGGGCGTATTTCCTTTGGTAAAGAGAGGGAATATGCCGAATATGCCGACTGAGGCGCCTGCCTGAATTGGTGTGTGCTGCTACGTAGTACCATGATTACCCAAGGGGGAAGGCACCACATGCATGGATCGTGAGGGAGTGAAAATGGGTCAATTGGCATAATTTACTTCAGACGTGGCACAAACTGTTTCTCCTTATTCCCTATTCCCTTTACGATGCGATAATAATTGATTCTACTGGGCAAATATAAACATGAAACAAATTAAAATAAGACATATGCACAGTGCTGATATAATCCTACTATATATAATTCGCTAAGTATGTCTGTGTGTGTGTGTGTCTGTCTGTACGTACGTCCGTCTGTCACGAAATTCATAGCGCGCTTCGCTGCAGGCATGGAACGCTGTATTTTGAGTATGGTGTAGGGGTGGGACGGCAACATATTTGGTGGGGTTTATAAAGTGATACCGACTGATAAGATCTGATAAGAGGCGCCAAAACGCCAATTTCATGATATTCATAGCGCGTGTCCCAGCAGTGGTGGGGCGTTGGTTCCAAGAAGTGATGTACAGGTGGGACGGGAACATGTTCGGTGGGGTACAGGAAGTGATAAGGGCTGATAAGGTTGATAAGAGGCGCTGAAACGCAAATTTCACACGAAATTCATAGCGGCGCGTCTCA